GGGGTGTTTCCCACCTAAAACCCTAAAACCCTCAAACCCGAAAACCCTAAGACCCTGAGACCCTAAGACCCTAAAACCCTAAAACCCTAAACCCTAGACCCCCCCTTCCCGAATTATTTCCACGAAGATACGTGGATATTGCTTTAAAGGGAGCGGCTCAGACACCGAACTCTGCGGTTCCACCGCGAGAGCCCTCGATACCACCCTTAAATGAGGAATGTACGTTAAGCAACGGGTACTTCGTACGATTTAAGGGTTTGGGGTTTGGGGTTTAGGGTTTTGGGTTTAATAAGGGTTTAGGATTTAATAAGGGTTTAGGGTTGGGCATATTCCTTAAAATCAGGGGGGCATCCGGCTTCCGCGGGCAGTGCTAACCACAAAAAGTTCCCAAGCAGACCCTGCAGCCCTAACATCACTCAACCCCAACACCCTGATTCTAAACGCTGTACCTTGAGCTCTAAGCCCCTAACCCTAAACCCTAAACCCTAAACCCTAAACCCTAAACCTTTAGAGCCCTGAAGGGAAAGGCCCTGGGGAGTATTGGGGAACCTTGGCGTAAATACCCCCTTCGAACACCCCTCCCTTGAGAACCCTGTAGACCCGGAAGGCCAAATTCCTTTTGAGACCCACCTCCGGCCACGTCTGAAGCGTCGGCGTTCCGACAACGCCTGGTAGAAGCCACAGCAGGCACACCCGAAGGTTTAGGGTTTAGGGTTTAGGGTTTAGGGTTTAGGGTTTAGGGTTTTAGGTTTAGGGCTAGGACTTGGAGCTTAAGGGTGCAGTTTACGGTTTCTTCGTACTTCGGACGGGGTTTAGGATTTGGAGCTTAAGAGCGCAGTTTCGGGCTTGAGGGCTTTAGGGTTGAGTCTAGATCCCAAAACCCAAAACCCAAGGCCCTTGCCTGTGAATCTGATACGTTTCTGCCAACACAATCCCTCGCAGCTCTCTCAGCGAGCGACGAACACGTGTTTGGGGGGCTATAGCAGGCTGCTGTGCCAAGCTTGATGGCATCATCTCTATGTTGGAGAGATGATAAGTCACTTGTGCTCTGCTTCCGGGCGTCATCACCATACTTGCATAACCACATGTGCTGATTAAATCAGCAGCTGTTTGACTAGAATGGAATGGGGATTTCTGAAGGTCGCCGCGTGACCCGGAGCCATTGTTGGACGGAGGCTTCAGAGGGCCTTAGGGTTTCAGGGTGTCAGGGCGTTAGGGTGTAGGGTTTAGGGCTTCTTCTCAGGAAGTCGTAGGTACCTATTATACCCGTATATTGTATATAAAGAAGTGCTCGATCTATCTATCTAGCTATCTATCTGTGGCTATGCAGGGCACCTAATTCCCTTGTATGTCTGGTCAACCAGGGCGCGAAACACGCGGAAGAGGTGGTCGATTTCACCGTCAGACCTCTGCTGCACGATGGCAAGTTCCCAACAGGATGGGCCGCTTTTGGGGGGGGGGGGGGGGGGTGCCCTAATAGGGCCACAAAGGGTTGAAGTGGCAGGGGCTGGGGAGCTTACTGCTTAGTGGGCTTGGGGTTGATTTTACAGTTCTCAGGGTTGAGGGTTCACTGAGGGTGACTCAGGAAATTGATGGGCTATGGGCTTGGCTTTCTAACCGCATGATCTTGTACTTCTACAGGCTTAGTAAAACCCTAAACCCTAAAACCCAAACCCTAAACCCTAAAACCTAAACCCTAAACCCTAAAGCCTAAAAGGCTGCGGCTTTTTGATGGCGTTCGTTATACGTGGCCCCGCAGCACCCTGGATACGAATTAACTCTCTGCACCAAACTTCCCAGAGACTCCGAGAACCCCGATAAGTAAAGACTAGCCCTTAGAATCATATTCGGATCCCTATGGGCCGTCCGTATTATGTTAACGTCTTTCTCATGGGCATACAATATGGCATTTTCTTGATGCCCGTGATATTGTATTGGAAGTAGTACATTCCAATCCCCTCAAAGCCCACATAATACAGCTAGTTTCACGCGCTTGTGGGCTCACTGTATTAATATTACACTCTCGCCCCAAGATGACGATGATAGAAGGGCGAAGTTATTAACCGCAATTACGGAATCGTCCTTTGATTCGTGTGTGGTCTGAAGGTGAGGGGGCGTACATGTACATGGAAGTTCGTGGATTAAAGCCTTACATGTAAAGTTAGGGTTTACGGGTTTTGGGTTTAGGGTTAGGGTTAACTGGGGTTCGAAGTGGAGGTAACTTTCATTAGAACTGGCTTTGGCCTTATTTAGAGTCTTTGATTTAGGGTAACAGTCCTTAATAGGGATTACAATAGGGGGTACTGCAACCCCTAAGTAAGGACTGTTAGTATAAGGGGGGAAACATCCCAATTTGGGACTTCTAAGCCCTCTCTGAGGGCCACCATGCCCCATCAAACTCGGAACGAACCTGAAGCTCCAAGCACGCAGTTTGTCTATGGTTGGAACTTGGGATGATCCCCCGTATACTAGCAGTCCTGAATTGGGATCATCATCGGGGTACTGTAATCCCTATTCAAAAGGGGCTGTTAGTATAAGGGGGACATTCCAAGCAGGAATGCTTAAGGCGAAGTCGGAAGCCCAAGCCGGAAACCCTGCGCGGGATTCATATTATGGGCTTAGCGGTTTCGGAAGGGGATTTCGGCCGGGTGTAGAGTCTGTGGGTACTGAGGTTGCGTTGGGGGCTTAACACCCTAGCCCCCCCCGCCCCCTCAAAAATGCTAACCTTGTACATTTTTGTAGGGTTCGATATAACCAAGAAGGCTAAAGGTTACGAACCAAATTGCTCCAAATGTTCAGTCGTCGTCTGATGGACGCTTCAACACGAAATTAAATCAAACTGTGCCCCGAACCCTGAACCCCCAAAACCCCAAACCCTCGAAGGGTGCACATGGGCACGCGGCTGGAAAAGAGGCTTCCCCGAGGCCGCCTCAACGAGAAGGCACCTCAACTTGTAGGTTTACATAGGGGGGTTAGGGTTTAGGGTTTAAGAATTTTGAGTGTGGGAGGGGTCTATTTTTGGGCTTGAGGGCTTAGCAGACAATCAAATGGTCCAAGCACCCCTTAACTATCCAAACGTTCTTCGGGCCGGATTTTGTAGGATCCCATCCCAGCATTCAAGGTGTGGGGGGGGGTTTTCGTCCTCAGAATCGAGCTCATGATGGACGAGCACTTTTCTTCAAGCTTTCCAGAGATTCGACTTAGGGAAGTTGCGGCTCTTGCTTTACCCTCAACCCTATTAATAAACCGTAATCCTGCAACCGTGCACTCTTGGGTCGAAGTGCTCAACGAAGCCCTCTCCCGCGGCCGATGATTCTGGGGATTTGATGTCGGGTTTACGTGTTAGGCAGCCCAATCTACCCCCCAACCCAAGTAAGGCCCAAATGACACTTCACGTGGGGGGGGGGGGGGGGGGGGGGGGGGGGGGTGGGGGCGGCACAACCGCTCCAAAATCTCTAAATTGGGCTCCTACACCCTAAACCCACCCTAAACCCTGAGCCCGATGGCTTTTGCAACAACCCTAGCCGCCTACAGCACCCAGGCATCTCCGAAACCCTAAACCCTAAACCCTAAACCCCAAAACCTAAACCCTAAACCCCAAACCCCAAACCCTAAACCCTAACCCTAAACCCTAAACCCTAAACCCTAAACCCTAAACCCTAAACCCTAAACCCTAAACCCTAACCCTCTCGGAGCCGCACCCTAAACCCTAAACCCTAACCCTCTCGGAGCCGCACCCTACGGACCACATGTCCACCTTGGGGCCGTAGATCTCGTCTCTCAAGATAAGCTCTGGCCTGGGCTTTATAGGGTTCTTAGGGGGGGGGGGGGGGGGGGTTCAAGGGGGTTTAGGGTTTAGGGTTTAGGGTTTAGGGTTTAGGGTTTAGGGTTTAGGGTTTAGGGTTCAGGGTTTAGGGGGTTCAAGGCGGGGTGTGTAACCCAAGGTTCCCTAATACACCCCACTACTAAGGCTCCCGAGGCTTCCCTGAGGTTCCCTAGAACCCCCTCCCTCAAGGAACCCTATAATACTAGGTTGCCCAGTAACCTGGGCTTAAAAAGGGTGCCCTTTTTTGCTTAAAGGGGTTTATAGGGAAACCTAGAGCCCCCAAAAAGGGAGTAAGGGTGCTACTGGGCATCCAAGCTATAAATAATAGGTTTAGGGTTCAGGGGGGCTCTGGGAAGCTTAGGGCCATAGGGGTTTAGGGAAATTGAGGGTTGAGGGCTCCAGGGGTGAGGGGTTAGGGTTCAGGGTTTGGGGCCGTTTAGGGTTTAGGGCTGCGGGGGTTGAGGGTTTTAGGGTAGGGCTTGAGGCTTTGAAGGTTTCAGAAGGTTTGGGGAGGGCGGGATGGAGGGGAGGAAGTGGATTCTCGGGTTTGGAATTGCAAGGGTCTACCGACAAGTGAGGGAAACAGATGCTTGGGCGTGGGAACCCAGTTCAGGTCGAACTTGCATCGGAATTGTCGAGGCTCTCGTACTTCAAGATGCCCTAAACCCTAAACCCTAAACCCTAAACCCTGAACCCTAAACCCTAAACCCTAAACCCTAAACCCTAAACCCTAAACCCTAAACCCTAAACCCTAAACCCTAAACCCTAAACCCTAAACCCTAAACCCTAAACCCAAACCCTAAACCCTAAACCCTAATAACCCTAATAACCCTAATAACCCTATGACCCTAAACCCTAAACCCTAATAACCCTAAACCCTAATGACCCTAAACCCTAAACCCCCAAAACCCGAAACCGGAAACCTAGACATGGGATTGGGGCTTTTGTGAGTTCATTCTCGGCAGACCGAGGCATCGAGACAGGCTGGGGGCTTGTGTTACCCCACAGGGACCCCAACAAAGCCAAAAGTTCAGGAATACGCTGGAAAGGGTTTGCGGTTGAGGGTTTGGGGTGCGTTGTGCATTTCGTGCCACTTGCTGTATGGCAGATTGACTTGTTAAACGAGCATCCAGGTCGGGGGTGTTTTGCCGCACTGATGCTTGGCGTTGTGGCGTCATGTGTCTCCTTGCCTGTTGGTTTTCGGCGCGGGCTCTTCTAGTTCATGGTTGGGATAGCATTTCAAGTTCTAATTTCTATTCCTTATTGAGTTTAGGTACCCTTAAGAATGTACAATGTCACCCCACTATGACACAAGTCTTTCATAACTACAGGACCATGTCCGGTCTCCTGCCAAGTAATGCAAACGAAGACCTACGACCCAAAGCATACCAACAAGGTGCGTGAAGCGTGCGCCTGAGTCTGAAACTGTGGCAACAAAGCTTGAACCACAATCCCTGAAGCCCCTAAGCGCTAAATGTCCAGCCCAAAAGCCTTATAAGCCCCCGCTGTTGCTTGTTGCTTCTGCTAAACCCTATACAGCCTAAGGCCCCATAACCCTAAACCCTAAACCCTACACCCTAAACCCTAAACCCTAAACCCTAAACCCTAAACCCTAAACCCTACTTGGGCAGCCCCGCGCGCGGTACCAGAGCCGGCGCATCTCGCGCCCGGAGCGGTCCCTCTCCTTGGGATCCTCCGGCGTGTAGACCTGCTGGGCGTGAGGGTTGGGTTTAGGGTTTAGGGTTTAGGGTTTAGGGTTTAGGGTTTAGGGTTTAGGGTTTGCCCACTGAAGCGACGCGCCTCGACCCAAGGGGTCGTGGGCGGCGCGTCGCGCGAAAGCTAAAACCCCACCCCAAGACCACCCAAACCTTACTCTATTAGGGTTTAGGGTTTTTTTTTTGATAGTTCTCTCGTTGCTTTGTATTCTCTGCTGTAGTTGTGGGTTGTTTTAATATAAACCAAAAGGAAAAGTAAAGCAGGGGGCAACAGTCTGCTTATATGTTGTGTTTTCACGCCCGAGTAGGCCCGGCTGGGAGCACCGATTCCGCGCTCGGGGCCGCGGCGCCATCGCTCGTTGTCACTGCGCTCCGTGGCGCCGCTGTGTACAAGAACGCCTCTTGTTCTCTCGTCGCTTTTGTATTCTCTGCCCTAGTGGATATCTGAATAAAAATCATAAACGTTTTACCCCAAAAGGGCCACAAGAGTACCAGAAAGCATCCACGAGGCCCCAAGAGCCACCAAAAGGCTTCAAAAGGCCCCCTAAAAAAGGACCTCCAGCATTTGCCCGGGCCCGCAATAAAAAATGCTTGTAGGACCGAAATCGATGGTTTTGGGCACCCCGAGTAGGCCCGGCTGCGAGCACCGATTCCGCGCTCGGGGCCGCGGCGCCATCGCTCGTTGTCACTGCGCTCCGTGGCGCCGCTGTGTACAAGAACGCTTCTTGTTCTCTCGTTGCTTTTGTATTCTCTGCTGTAGTGGATATTTTAATAAAAATCATAAACGTTTTACCCCAAAATTTTAAAAGGGCCACAAGACTACCAGAAAGCACTCACGAGGCCCCAAGAGCCACCAAAAAGCTTCAAAAGGCCCCCTAGAAGAAGGGGACCTCCAGCATTTGCCCGGGCCCGCAATGAAAAATGCTTTTTTTTTCTAGCACAGAAATAGATGGTGTTGGTCACAACGAAAAGTAAAGCAGGGGGCAACAGTCTGCTTATACGTTGTGTTTTTACGCCCGAGTAGGCCCGGCTGGGAGCACCGATTCCGCGCTCGGGGCCGCGGCGCCATCGCTCGTTGTCACTGCGCTCCGCGGCGCCGCTGTGTACAAGAACCTTCTTGTTCTCTCGTCGCTTTTGTATTCTCTGCTGCTTTTGTATTCTCTGCTGTAGTGGATATCATCATAACGTTTTACCCCAAAAGGCCAAAAGGGCTACAAGAGTACGAGAAAGCACCCACGAGGCCCCAAGAGCCACCAGAAGGCTTCAAAAAAACCCATAGAAGAAGGGGACCTCCAGGATTTGCTCGGGGCCCGCAATGAAAAATGTTATTTTTTAGTACAGAAATCGATGGTTTTGGGCACCCCTCCATGTTGTCAAAGGGCCAGGAAAGCCCCAGGAAAATCCCAAGAAAGTTTTATGCCCGAGCAGGCCCGGATGGAGGGCACCGATTCCGCGCTCGGGGCCGCGGCGCCATCGCTCGTTGTCCCCAACAGGCTCAGAAACTGTCCGGGAAAACAGAAACTGTCCGGGAGCCCAAAAAAACGTAGAAACTGTCCAGGAGGAGCCCAAAAAGGCACAGAAATGGTCCGGGAGGAGCCTGGGACCCTAAATCCTAAATACTAGGTTCCGCAATACCAAATCACGAAGCCGGGCCTCCCCGGAATACTAAATTACGAAGCCGGGCCTCGCCCGAATACTAAATTACGAAGCCGGGCCTCCCCGGAATACTAAATTACGAAGCCGGGCCTCGCCCGAATACTAAATTACGAAGCCGGGCCTCCCCAGAGAGGCCCCTGAATCCTAAATCCTAAATCCTAAATCCTAAATCCTAAATCCTAAATCCTAAATCCTAAATCCTAAATCCTAAATCCTAAATCCTAAATCCTAAATCCTAAATCCTAAATCCTAAATCCTAAATCCTAAATCCTAAATCCTAAATCCAAATCCTAATCCTAAATCCTAAATCCTAAATCCTAAATCCTAAATCCTAAATCCTAAATCCTAAATCCTAAATCCTAAATCCTAAATCCTAAATCCTAAATCCTAATTTTTAAAGGGGAAGGATGGGGGTCTAGGCTTTAGGGTAATACAATATGCTTTAGGGCTGTACGCCCTGTTCCCTCTTTCAAAGCTGTGAGGAGTGCGTTACGGTGCCAGAAGCTAACTCTTCTGGCACTAAAGAGAGCATCTGCCTCCAACTGCTAGACTGTCGCTACTCAGTTGTCGGCTGCCGTCGCTAGAGGCTCGGCGGGCTCGCTGCGGCCCGCTGCCTTGCCGGCAGCTAATCAGGGGCCTTGCTCGCAGTTTAGGGTTTAGGGTTTAGGGTTTAGGGTTTAGGGTTCAGGGTTCAGGGTTCAGGGTTTAGGGTTTAGGGTTTAGGGTTTAAGGTTTAGGGTTTAGGGTTTAGGGCTTAGGGTTCAGGGTTCAGGGTTCAGGGTTTAGGGTTTAGGGTTTAGGGTTTAGGTTTAGGGCTTAGGGCTTAGGGCTTAGGGCTTAGGGCTTAGGGCTTAGGGCTTAGGGCTTAGGGCTTAGGGTTTAGGGTTTAGGGTTTGGAGGGGCTTAGGGTTTTGGATTTAGGGTTTAGAGTTGAGGACCTGGCTCTTCCCTTGCTGGTAAGTAACATTAGAGTTTCGGGTATAGGGTTTAGGGTGTAGGGTTTCGGGCTTAGGGTTTATAGGATTTAAGGTTTAGGGTTGTGCAAGGGTTTAAGATTTCTGCTGGAATCCACAATGAAGACTTTCCGAAAAGCAGTAACACTTCCAAGAAAGATTGACACCCGCACCAATTGAAGGTTGTTCGAAGAACCACAAATGACAAAGCCTGCCTGCCGTTTTTCGCACTTATTTATCATAACCTAGAAAGTTGAAAGACCAGTAGATTTTTTCGTTCTGGGCCCATTGTGGTACCCTAAGCGGCAATGAAAACAAGGATCGAAACCCCCAACGAAACGAAGGCTCATAATATTTGCCTGGGACTCTATGTGCCTACTGTTTAGTTGTAGCTATCCCGTAATTGGTAGGTATGACCCATAAAAGGGTAGGTAAAGAGAGTGTCCGGTAGGTCCCTGAACCCTAACCCTAAACCCTAAACCCTAAATCCCCTCTTCCCCGAAAACAAATTTGCGACAGCCTGGCCTGGAAGGGGATATCCAGCAGCCGCGTCGTGGTAAAGTCGCCGATCTTGACCTGGATCTCATATGACGCTTAAAACCCAGAAACGCCTATAAAGGCCCTTATCCCGAAAGCCCCAACAGCCTTACTTGCCCCAAAAGCCTCAACGGTGAACCCTAAAGATGCAATCCGTACCCAAAGCCAGCAAAACACAAAACGGACCCTTCAAAGCCCGTATGCGACCCTAAGCCCCAGAAGTGCTTATGCACTGCCCGAACACCCCTAAACGACCCGAAGCCGAAGCCCTACAATTTCCAAAGCCCTTCCTTGTACGCCCTTCCTTGTGTAGGCCCGAACATCCAAACAAAACAAACTCTGACGCCCCTAAGCCCTCAAAATCCCCTGAATGAAACCCCCCTTACCAAACACAACAGAAGGTAGACTAGGATAACATGAAACCCCCTTTAACAAACATAAAAAGAAACTAAAATACTAGGTTGCCCAGTAACCTAGGATTAGAACGGGTGCCCTTTTTTGCTTAAAGGGGTTTATAGGGGAACCTAGAGCCCCAAGAAAAAGGAATAAGGGCACTACCGGGCATCCTAGAATAGGATAAACTTCGAAGCCCTCGATAACGCCGACGCCGGGGGCCGAGCGGTTCCGCTGCGGTCCAGGAACAGGTTGTCCGGCTTCAAGTTCCGGTGGATCAGACCCTGTTGAGGGGGGCCCTAAACCCTAAACCCTAAACCCTAAACCCTAAACCCTAAACCCTAAACCCTAAACCCTAAACCCTAAACCCTAAACCCTAAACCCTTACCCTAGCTTTTAGGGTTTTTAGTATTTTAGGTGTTTTGGGGATGGTGGGTCAGACCCTGCTGAGGAGGGCCTGAGGGTTTTGTTTTAGAGGCCTCTTTTTGGGGGATTAGGTAGGGCATCTCGGGGGGTTGAGGGTGGGCTTTTTAGGGCTGAGAAGGGCTTCAGCGAGGTTGCAGGTGCTTCAAGTTTCAGTGGATGACACCCTGAAAGGGGTTTTTGGGCTTTGGGACTGAGCGGTTGATGAGGGAGTCTTAACATTCTGGGGGCCTGTCGGTGCAAAACTGACCAAATGTATGTTGGGTGTGTTCAGGCTCTTCCTGGAAAGGAACCCTAAGCCTACTCCAAAAGTGCAAAGGGGTCGTCTGCGCGCCAGTTTTGGGTTTGGGTCGTCTGAAAAATATTCCTGAACATGATTCTCTTAAACCCTATAAACGGAAAACACCCCAAACCCTAAACCCTAAACCTAAACCCTAAACCCTAAACCCTAAACCATAGGGCCCATCCAAGGCCTTGCCTCGGGAAGTTGGACAAGATCTCAGCAAAGCTACTTGGAGGTTCATGGTACTTATGCTTAATCACCAAGGATAGCTGGGCTAGAAGTACAGTGATTATTGGGATAATAATATGGTTATAACTGGGTTGAACGTACAGTGATTATTGGGATAATACGAACCAAAAACCTCCAAGTACACTTAAGAAGCAGCAAGCGAGCAGGTGTAGCACTAACAGTCCATAGGCATTAAGTCAAGGAGTTCCATAGCCATTCCGCCTCGATTTGGGTGCTGCCTCAATTTTCGGTGCTGCTTCAGCGGGGGGTTGTGCGCTGAAGCAGCACACTGAACTTGAGGTGGAACGATAGTCGAGGTGGCACGCTGTGAAAATCAACTGGGTTTCGCTAGAAAGGCTATTTTGTTTGAGAAGAAACATGCCGGGCCAAATTCCCGTGCCAAATGCATGCTGCCTCGATTTGGGTGCTGCCTCAATTTCGGATGCTGCTTCAGCGCGTGGGCTTCGCGCTGAAGCAGCACGCTGAAATTGAGGTGGAACGGTACTTGAGGTGGAACGGTTAGGAAACCCTTGATTAAGGCGGCCTGTCCGTTCGCCAGGGAGCGGCCCTAAACCCTAAACCTTAAACCCTAAGCCCTAGGCCCTAAACCCTAAACCCTAAACCCTAAACCCTAAGTGTCCAGGCCTGATGATGCACGTAGCGCAGCCCCGTGAGCATCTCCTTGAACTTCCGCCTGTGGGGTTTAGGGTTTAGGGTTTAGGGTTTAGGGTTTAGGGTTTAGGGTTTAGGGCTACCCGTATTCTAGACCCAAGAGTAACCTAGGCATAAGCAGGGTGGGCTTGTTAGGGAACCTAAGCCCCAAAAAAACAGGGGAGTGAGGGTCTACTCTGGGTCCGAGTATTCGAGCTGGAGTCCTAAACCCAAAACCCAAAACCCAAAACCCAAACCCTAAACCCTAAACCCTAAACCCTAAACCCTAAACCCTAAACCCTAAACCCTACCCTTTTCAAGGCTACAGCTCCCCAAGTTCTCCAGAGATAAGGCGACGCACACTTACATCTAATGGTCCCTGATGGTCAGTTCTCTAAATCATGGCCACTTTTTTGGTACCCTAAGTAACGAGAGGGGCCGCCTTCTTATAAGGACCCCCCAAAAGGGACCATATTGTTGAGAAGTGAGCATATCACCTTTAGTACCATTAAACCCACATGTGTAGCCGGGCTCCGACAGTACATCTCGTCTTGTTTTGGGTTTTAGGGTTTAGGGGTTTGGGGTTTAGGGTTTAGGGTGCCAAACAGGACCCGTGACTTCGCTGAACCCCGGCGTATTCAAAGTCGCGGGACGTTGGCGCAACCTGGTCTCTCACTGCCGAAGCTTCCCCCGCGTGAGGGTGTAAGGTTTAGAGCGCACATCCCTGCCCAAGACCCCGTCAACCCACACCCCCCCCCCCCTCGTCCCGAAACTCCACTCAGAACCATAACAAACAAAGAGTTGTCAGATTCCCTGGCCCTAAACCTATAGTCACTATGGATCCTATAAGCTGCCAGAAACCTAAACTCAAACCTACATGCCTTCGAGGACGAACAGGGCTCCCCTTTACTTGCATCTCCAACCAAGGAACAAAAAAACTTAACAACTTGTGCGGTTGTGTTTCAGTTTAAGTTTCGGATTTAGGGTTTGTTGTAGAGTTTAGGGTTTGGCAGCTTGAATGATTTTGCAGATCATGATAAGGAGAAGTAAGTTCAGAGAGCGTAGAGTTCGATGATTCGCTAGTGTGGTAGAAGTTGGGTTTACTTAGAAGCTGTTTTGACTTAGTAAGTCTACTTCGTACCCCCTCACTCACTCACTCACTGATACGCAGCTGCGAATCGGGCTCTAGAAACACCATTTACAATCCTCATAACCCACCTTTCTAACCCTACTTACTAAGTCAAAAGAGCTTCCAAGCAGGGTTTAGGGCCCAGGGGAAGCAAGTCTTAAATCCCACTTGGAGGTTCATGGTACCCATTAACCAATTATTAACTGTACTTATGATCCACTTATAAGGCCGTGAAGTACCTCAATGTGGTTATATTTGGGTGATAAGTACAGATATCATTGGGTTAACAAGTACCCTGAACCTTCAAGTACATTTTCGGGAGCTGAAGGGGGGCAGGGGCAGGAGCAGAAGCGGAGTAAGTTTATGGGTTTAGGGCCTTCGGGTTTAGAAACACCCTCTACTTCTTAGGGTAGTTTCATGGTCCCTTAGTACGGGCCCTGGTCCCCTTTCATACCCCTTCTATACCCTATACACACCCCAAGGGCCCATACTTCAGAATCCTTTTAAAGGGGTAAGGGACCATAGTTTAAAGGGGGTAAGGGACCATAGGAAGGGACCATGAAACTACCCTAAGGCTACTTGCAAATTTTGGTGCCAGGAGGTCAAGGGTCTATTGTTTGGTGGCTTCGGGTTATACGGGCTCAGGCTTGCAAAGCTTTGCCGCAAGCTCAAACTGCTAAGCTACTGTACGCCTAACATCCTCCAAATGGGTCCTTGTATGGGGTGTACTATGGGGATTGAGGGCTTATACCCCTAGCATCCCCTAAAAGGGCCCTTGCGTGGGATGTTTAATGGGAATTCAGGGATGATAAGAAGACCGACAAGCCCCTATCATGGGATTAAGGGCATACCAGAAGACCAAAAAGCCCTAAACCCTAAACCCCAAACCCCAAACCCTAAACCCTAAACCCATCCTAGCGGGCCTGATGTCAAGAACCCGCTGGAACTGCGCGCTTACCTCCAACCTGGTCCAGGGCCCCCCAGGAGCGGTTGAAGGGAGGTAGGGTTTAGGGTTTAGGGTTTAGGGTTTAGGGTTTAGGGTTTAGGGCTTAGGGCTTAGGGCTTAGGGCTTAGGGCTTAGGGTTTAGGGTTTAGGGTTTAGGGTTTACAGGAAAGCCGCGAACCGAACCGCAAACCGAACCGAACCGCCAGGAACCGCACGCACGAAGGAACCGTGTGAACCGTGAACCGCCGAAACCGCGACAAACACGAACGGAACCGAACCTGAAGCCAAGCCCTCCAGCCCTCCAGCCCTCCAGCCACCCCTCCAAGCCTCCACCCCTCCAGCCCCCTCCAACCCCCCACCTCCAACCGGCAGGGGCTGGAGGGGCTGGAGGGGCTGGAGGGGCTGGAGGGGCTGGAGGGGCTGGAGGGGGGCTGGAGGGGTTGGAGGCTGGAGAAACTGGGCTGGTGGGCTGGAGGGGCTGGAGGCGGAGGGGCTGGAGGGGCTGGAGGGGTTGGGGGGGGGCGGAGGGGCTGGGGCTGGAGGGTAGGAGGGGCTGGAGGGCTTCTCTGTGCAGCCTGTTTTATTTGAGTCGTGCACAATGGCAGGGTCTATGTTACAGATGTGGCGTGTCACCTCATCTTGCCCCGGGTGGAGTGCACTCTCACATAGGGCAGCCTCCAGAAGCCTGTCTTCCATAGCGTGGTGCTCTGACACATCCATGCTGAAGAGAGTGCAAGGTATGTATGCAGGGATGAACTGTGCTTGCATGTGCTGTACTTCTCCAAAAGCAGCAAGCATCCCCTCTGCTGCCAGGGTGCAGCCCATTGAGGGTTGATATACATTGTTGAAGAAGTGGCTTGCTAAGAGTGTGCTATCAAGAGGGAGCCCTCCACTCATATATACAGCAGATAGGGCACAGGTCACACCGCCCTGTGTTGCAACTCGGGCTGCCAGGTGCACCACGCTTTGCTTTTCTAGCCGAGCACCCTGCTGGTAGCCGCGGACTACATGAGGCAGAAGTTGCTCGAACAGCTGTGTGCTTAGGGGCAATGAATCGCATCTCTGCCACATATGCAAGGCCAAACCAACAGCCAGATCGAAGCGTGTTAAGTCCTGCAGCGGGACTTCTTCTGTCCGCTCCTCTAGCCACTCCTCCTCAATCCCTCTCTGCACAAACTGCACTACAACCTCCCAGCTCCATGTGTTGGAGCATGCATGGCAGTCAAGAGCTACAGAGGGGTGTTGCATGTCGCGCCCATGGCCCTGGATCTTGGCCCGCTCTCGGCTTTGCCTCCTGGCCCTGCAGCTAGCAAGGGCAGGATGGAAAACAGCTGCCTGCCTCGGTTCCTTTGTTCTCTGTGTGGGCTGCGGCAAGTTGTGGTGGTGTGCCAAAGCTGCGCTTATGTGTGTAGCATGATAGGCTGCATGCTCATCAGCTGTTGCGGTTGGGACCTTGCCCTTCCAATGTAAGAGCCAGCGGCCGGCCCCTGCATCGAAAAGAGCCTGCTGTGCGCCACTATCTAAAGCAGGGCGCAAAACAGAAGGGATAGGCCCTAAGGCAAAAGCGCCGGCCATCCGCCTCTGCCAAAGTGGCGCTCCTTCGCCATCTTGCTGGGTGCTGCCATGAGCCTCTTCACCAGGTGGCTTAATCTTGGTGATGTACAAGCCTGCACACGACACTGCAAAGGGCCCTGCTTGCCAGCTGTCAGGGAAGGCCTCGTACACCAGCCTCTGCCAGCCCATGGCCTTGCGTGCTCGTTGCAGCAGCTCAGCTTCCCTCTGGGAGAGCTGCTCTTTGTAGTGCTCATTCCCCCCACGCATGTGCTTAGGCAGTCTGGCCTCTTGGAGCCGCTCCTGGAGGGTCTTCTCTATAGCAGGCTTCTTTTGGAGCTGGCTGTTCCTTAGCTGCTGGTAACTGCTAGCTGCTGCGCTATTGAGGCTCCTATATGTGAACACGGTACAGAGCATATCTGCAGGGAGTGTGTCCAGGAACCACTCTAGTGGCTCACCTTCTAGCTCTGTGCTGCAAACACACAGGGAACCAGGCCGGCCATAGAAGCGAGCTCACATATGTCAGCTAACCACCGCACGAAGGACGATGCTCTTGCTGCCTCCTCCACTGTAGAGTCAGAAGCTGCCTTTTTTGTGGGTTCCAGTAAGTCACGCTCTGCACCATGTGCCAGCACATTGACTCCAAGTGGCAGAACGGAGTCTGGGCAGAGCACTTCTTGGGGATCTAACCCTACTGTTATGAGCTTCTCGTCTCGCCATTGTAGGAGGTGTGAAATGAGGGGGCGGAGGAGGGGCTGGAGGGGCTGGGCTGGAGGGGAGGGGCTGGACTGGAGGGGCTGGGGCTGGAGGGGCTGGAGGGGCTGGAGGGGCTGGAGGGGCAGAGGGGCTGGAGGGGCTGGAGGGCCTGGAGGGGTGGAGGGGCTGGAGGGGCTGGAGGGGTGGAGGGCTGGGGGCTGGGGGGGCTGGAGGGGCTGGAGGGGCTGGAGGGGCTGGAGGGGCTGGAGGGGCTGGAGGGCTGGAGGGGCTGGAGTGGCTGGAAGGGGCTGGAGGGGCTGGAGGGGCTGGAGGGGCTGGACGGGCTGGACGGCTGGACGGTGGACGGGCTGGACGGGCTGGACGGGCTGGACGGGCTGGACGGGCTGGACGGGCTGGACGGGCTGGACGGGCTGGACTGGACGGGCTGGAGGGGGCTAGGGCTGGCGCTGTGCAGGCTGGAGGGCTGGAGGGGCGGGTGGAGGGGCTGGAGGTGGACGGAGGGGTGGGGGTTTGGCACCCGAACCGAACCGAACCGAACCGCAAACCGCAGCGAACCGCTTGAACCGGAACCGTTCCAGAGTATGTACCCCAAAACCGAACCGAACCTACACGAACCGTGGCCTTACTGGGTTTAGGGTTTAGTTAGGGTTTAGGGTTTAGGGTTTAGGGTTTAGGGTTTAGGGTTCAGGGTTCAGGGTTCAGGGTTCAGGGTTTAGGGTTTAGGGTTTAGGGTTTAGGGTTTAGGGTTTAGGGTTTAGGGTTTAGGTGAAATTGGCACCTCTTGAACCAAGTACTCCAGCTTTCATGCACGTACTCGGTGCACATGACGGCCTCAAACAGAGAAGTGGCCAGACTCTTAGGGGTTTTAGGGGGTCAGGGTAATTAGGGTTTGGGTTTCGGGTTTCGGGTTTAGGGGCCCTGAACCGCAAATCCGAAACCAACGGGTTACATCCTGCAGCAACATCCTCACACATCCGCATGAGCATCCCCACATCGAATGCTGAGCACGACGCCCGACCTCTCCCCAAGCACTATGTTGCAGGATTAGGGTCAAACCTTAAAATCCTATAAACCCTACACCCTAAAACCCCAAACAGGGGTTTTGAAAAGGCCATGACTATGAGTCGAGAAGGAGTCGATTCTACCATGAGACCCTCAGGGTTTTGAGCATCCTTGTTCTGCAGAACCAAAACCCAAAACCCAAAACGCTAAACCCCCCCCAGAAGAGTACCCCCAGTTTGGGCAACCCTCATTTAGAGCCCTGACAACCTCACGTTTCCGCGTAAAAAAAAGAAACCCAAACAACACCCTTGAAACCTGTGGCGTCTGCTCCAAGCCTTACGTCCCACAAAACACGTTTTAGGGTTTAGGGTTTAGGGTTTGGGGCTCGGCTTGGGATGTTCCCCCTTCTACTAACAATCCTTAATAGGGATTATAATAGGGGGGGGGGGGGGGGGTACTATCATCCCTACGAAGGACTGTTAGTATAAGGGTGTTCGGGGTTTAAAGGTTTAGGGTGCTGGGTCTAGGGATTCACGATTTTTGGGTCTAACAGGTTTGGAAGGGGAACCTCCCTCAAGAAGATGTAACCATGGTGCACTGAAGAGGCTTTTCAACAATCTAAAGCCTTGCTCGTCCCTGAACACCAGAACCATCAGTCCTGAGTGAAGCCCAAAACTAACTATTGCCCGAGACCGTAAACCCTAAACCCTGAAGCAGTGCATTCTCCAACCACCAAAGTAAAAAAAAAAAAAAAAACATACAGAATAAACAAAAAACAGGTTGAACTGGACGCCTACCAAAATACAGCAACCCACACGAAATTCCAGGCGCAACGTGTGCAAGCATGCCCCGGCATCGAGTGTGAGACATACACGTACTGCCCATCAAGATTCAAAAGTCAGGCGGAAAGTCGCAGAGGGCGTGTAGGGAGGGGAGATAGGGTAGTCGTAGTTCGGGATACAGTGAAGCCATCCAGGAAAACTCTGACTCTAGGTGCAGATAAGAGGACTGGCGCGATATGTATGTATATATATATATGTATATATATATATATATGTATATATACATACATACATACATACATACATACATACATACATACATACATGCCTGCACAGGCAGTCACAGAAATCCGCGGCAGCTAAAGCCTGCTCAACCCTATAGGCAAAGAGGGGAGTCTGAAGGAAGCTTCTAGCCCAAAGCATCCATGCGGTCCATTCTCGAGGCCCATTTGCCCCTATAAACCCTAAACCCTAAACCCTAAACCCTAAACCCTAAACCCTAAACCTAAACCCTAAACCCTAAACCCTAAACCCTAAACCTGCAGTTGTCCAGCGCTGTCAGGTCGGCTTGGGTGTTGACTCGATCAGAAACCGCTATGGCCTTGGGTTTAGGGTTTAGGGTTTAGGGTTTAGGGTTTAGGGTTTAGGGTTTAGGGTTTAGGGTTTAGGGTTTGGGGTTTGGGGTTTGGGGTTTGGGGTTTGGGGTTTGGGGTTTGGGGTTTGGGGTTTGGGGTTTAGGGTTTGCTGGAACATTTCGACGACGGCGTCTGCAAAATCCATGTTGGGATCTTCTATATCTGGCTACCATACATAGATGTAGAGTTTATAAGGCTGCTGGGTCTACAGGGTATAGGGCTTTGAGGGTTCCTTGGGATTTCAGGGTTGTTATTAGGGTTTCTCGGGCTTCGAGGGGTCCCTAAACCCTAAACCCTAAAACCTAAAGCCTAAAGCCTAAAACCTAAACCCTAAACCGTGCAGACATCCGGCCTTCGTGTTCAGGATCTCCGCGCCGAAGTGCCTACAGAGGAAGTCTCGCAAAGTTCAGCTAGCGGCCTTCGAGGGTTTACAGGGGCTAATCCTAAGCCCTAAACCCTAAACCCTAAATCCTAAACCCTAAATCCTAAACCCTATAATGACTTAAGGAAGACCTTGATTGCTGCGAACACCTCAGTGCGTTCAGGGTCTCCTAAAACCCTAAATCCCAAGTCCCAAGCCCTAAACCCTGAACCCTAAGCCCTAAGCCCTGAACCCGAAGCCCTAAAACCCAAACCCACCCGAAAACCTAAGCCCTAGCCCCTAAGCCCTAACCCCTAAACCCTAAACCCTATATCCTGTATCCTAAACCCTAAACCCTAAACACTAAACCCTAAACCCCGCGTACCCCGTGCCTGATGATGTTCGGATGCTTCAGCTCCGAGAGGAGCGCTGCCTGCTAGACTGCTGGTGGCATGCTTGGCTCATGACATCTCTGGGTAGGGTTAAGGGTTTAGGATTTAGGGTTTAGGGCCTAGGGTTTCGGGGAGTTGTGGGTTTAGCGAAGTCGAAAATTCAAAGGCTTTGGAATTCAGGACTTAGGGCAACAGGCGAGTCTGAAAACCCTAAACCAAACCCTGAACCCGAACCCCTGAACCCCAAACCTTGTCGGTTTGCACTTCTGAGACCTGAACCTCAGCAGACCCCACCTAGGCTGCCCAGTAACCTAGGCTTAAAAAGGGTGCCCTTTTTTGCTTAAAGGGGTTTATAAGGGAACCTGAACCCCCCAAAAAAGGGAATAAGGGTACTACTGGGCATCCTAGCCACAACTTACACCTTCAGGGCCGCGGGGGCCTCGCGCAGGAACGACGTCGGCAGCCCATCATCCCTGCCGGCCTGGGGGTATGGGACGTTTGCTCAATCCTAAACCCTAAACCCTAAACCCTATACCCTAAACCCCAAACCCTAAACCCTATACCCCTAAATCTAAACTGCTTCGGTTTAGGGTTTTGGGCCTGGTGTTCAGCCTTTTTCTGCTTCCATACGAGGGGGGAAGCGAGGTTGCACTGGTCGAAGCCGCAAACCTTAAACCGCTTCGGGTTTAGGGTTTAAGTTTAGGGTTTAGGGTTTAGGGTTTAGGGTTTAGGGTTTAGGGTTTAGGGTTTAGGGTTTAGGGTTTAGGGCTTAGGGCTTAGGTTCTGGGGGCTGAGGGTTTAGTAGGAACTTGGATGGCTGGCCCCTCATCATGGGCCCAAAAACAAGAGGCCCTAACCTGGTCAAGGTTTCGAGTACCCTATAAAAACAATAGCCTAAACCCGGAACCTTAATATCTGGTTTTTATTCGGGCAGAAGGGGTTCAGTGTTCCGCCTTTCTTCAGGTTTAGTGCTCAGGGCGGTGGGTTCGCGATCTTGGGGAAGAGGGGTGTTGGGGGTGGGATACTATGCCAGAGCGTGGACCTTGCACTAAACGAACTGGCCAACCTACGGCCCGCAGGGGAGGGGTTGAGGGTTTAGGGTTTAGGGTTTAGGGTTTAGGGTTTAGGGTTTAGGGGGCTCCGGTTCAGGGAAACCCGAGTGAGCTTTCGGGTCCTCCTATGTGTCGCATCTCAGTAGGAAGCGCATCTTCACACGGCATATGCATGATCAGGCCCGAAACCACGAAACCCCGAACCCTAAACCCTAAACCACCCCAAGCCGTTTGCCACCTCGCTCGTCTTCCCCACGCCCTAAACTCGAACCCCTACCCTGAACAGCATACTGTATCCTCCTTGCAGTCGAGCCCAAAGACACAACAATAGTCAAACAAGGCCTTTGAATAAACCCTAAACCCTAAACCCTAAACCCTAAACCCTAAACCCTAAACCCTAAACCCTAAACCCTAAACCCTAAACCCTAAACCCTAAACCCTAAACCCTAAACCCTAAACCCTAAACCCTAAACCCT